GCTCTGGGACTCAGAGGCCGCACCTGAGAGAAGCCGCCGACCCTGCCTCAGTTTCCCGCCTGTTGCCCGCTGCTGCCCCAGTGAACTCCGCCCTCTTTCATACTGGGTCTTGCTTGCTTCTGAGCCACCCCCCCAGGAGTTTACTTTGTCCAGTTATCTGTCCCCACCCACTGCCGTGTTCCCGACACCCAGGAAGTTCCAGAGGCACAGAAATACTTTTTGACCATCAGACTTGGGAAACCAGGGGACAGTTAACACTGCTCCCCAAGTGCTGTTGGGGAGATGCTGTTTATTACCCTGATGGCTTTGAAAGCCCAGTGGTAAAAAAAGAAAGCGAACAGATCACGTTGTAGTGCGTCCTCCTTATGTGTAATTTGAAGACATATTGATTGGCAGAATGAAATTCAGAAAGTTGAATTTGGTATAATTGTGCTAATAGTGATGTTTGTGATTTTGTTTCTTTGGGGACTTTTGCTGCGTTGCCCAGACCTGGCACTGGATTCTTGGGCTCAAGCGATCCTCCTGCCCCTGCCTGCGGATTAACTGGAACCATGGACGCATAGACCCACACCCAGCTGTAGTGCAGCTTTCTGGGCCAGCGCTAAATATTTTAATAAACTGTTCTATTACCTCCAAAAAATACAGGTGTATAATTTATCAATGAGAATGCTTGGTTTTATTTTGAAGTGTTTATTATGTTTTCTTTTTAGGAAGAGAAAAGAGCAAAACTTGCAGAGGCTGCAGAGAGAAGACAGAAGGAGGTGAGATTAAAAGTAAAGCGGTGCCTGTTAGGTCATTAGGGCTCTCCTTTACTCTCCGGAGCTGTTCACAAAGTGTTCTCTAGGGCATATGGTGTCTGATACCCTGAACGATATTTCCAGAGACCCATTTTTGCCACGTTCCATAAGTTGTGTTAATGTGTTTTAGTCATTAACGTATGAAAATGATCATAAGCATGTTTTCTCCCATCCAGGATGCTCCTGTGAGAATGTTCTCCCTTACACTGAAATGCCTATGTCTTGCCAAACACTGCTAAATGCAAATTAAGTTTAAGGAAGATTTTTGTATGGTTGCAAAATAGGCAATGAAGAAATGACTGTGTTTTCATAAGGCTGCTGTGGAAATGCTCTGTTTCTAAAATAAGCCAATTCCTCAAAGAAAAAGCTAAAAGCAAAATCACCTTTTAGACACCAGGTAGTGATTCTCCCTACTCCCTGGATCAAACCCAGATCCTTATACTGGCCAGGCAGAAGCCTAGACCGCTGAGCTATCTCCGCAGCCCCAGATACCAATGTTTATTTATTTTTTATTTTTTTCAATAATTTTATTGAGAAACAAATAGCAAAGAGACAGTTTCAAATGCGATTAGTAGGACAGTTTCAATAATTAATACATTGCTTATGACCAATTTTTTATTATTTTTGTATCCTTTATCAAATTTCTTAAAGGCTGCATCTCGAGGGATTTTAGATGTTCAATCTGTGGAAGAAAAGAGAAAGAAAAAGGAAAAAATAGAAAAGCAAATTGCTACGTCGGGGCCTCCGCCAGCAGGTGGACTAAGAGTAAGTATTAAAAGTAATTTGAGGTCTCATTTCACTGGCATCTTTTGAAAACTTAGGTAGTAGTTCAGTCAGTAATTTTCTCTGGAAATCCATTGTGAGAAAACTATTTTAGAAGAAGTGTCCATTTACCATTCGTTGGAATAAATCTGCCTATTTCTGAAGTTAATAATTTTTATTTTTCTAATTAAGATATTTTAATAGTTAAATACTAATTACTGAAATATTTTTTATATATACATTTTGAGACAGTCTTGCCCTATAGCTCAGGGTAGGCACGAATCCTCAGCTGCCCTGCCTCAGACTCTCAAGTGCTGGGATTACAGCCTGCACCACCATGTCTGCTACTGCTGACCTTAAACGTGTCAAAACTCAGACTGGGGAAATGTAAAGAATATAAAAATTATCTAAATTCCATACAGTTTTGACAGATGTCCCTTCTAATCTCCATTTACTCATGAAGCGTTATTGGATTGCTCCATAAATTCTATTCTTGAACTTTTTCACTCCAGGATCCGCGGTTTTTAACCTTCCTCTTCTCTCTTGCTGTTATTACTGTGGACCATTAGATGTGCACATGGGGTATGACATGCTCTTCCCTACATGTCTGTCACAGAACTGGATCCTGGTCGCGTAATGGTGGGCGGATGACGCCGTCTGAGGAGTCTAGCTGGATGGTGCAGGTTTTATTTTACATGTATAGCTCAGGGCCGTCAGGGCTCAGATAGGAAAACTTTATTCTTCCTTTTTCTTTCTTTCCTGTGATGCTGAGGACTGAATCCCAAGTGATGTGCAGGCTGCGTGTCCACCACTGACTTACAGCCCCACCCCATTCTTGGTCTGTTTTAAGCAAATACTTTCCTAAGTTAACCAACTTGAGAAATGGACAGTGTCCTGCACCTCGGTCATGCTTACTTAACTCATCGATGAGTCGTAACTGTGCTCTAGCCGACCTGCTCTGTTCGTGTTTCAGCTGTGTTTGGGCCTTCACTCAGCCCCACATGCACAAGCCTACCCGCAGACACAGCTAAGTCTTTAGAGGCTTAAATTGCATGCCCTTTTTAAGGTGTAAGAAGGGGGCAGTAGGGATCCTATCTCAAATATTCTATTTTCAGGATTTACTATGTACAGTTCAGCCTTTTGAAACTTCCCCTCTTGCTAAATTGTAAGGCAGATAGTTTCAGGGCTTTCTGAGCAGAGCAGATTCTGGCTCAGGAATGTCACACAGAGATAAGCCTTATCTCTGTCACATTGCCATTGCATGTTATTCCATCTACTTTCAGTTAATGGATGAAAGTAAAAACCATTTTCTTTACAGTGAAATTTTAAGAATGTATGATAATTAGCTTCAGTATTAACATATATACAGAATAAGGTTATTTTGCTTAGGTTTTTTTAACATATTTTCATAAAGGAATCAAATATATTTGGTTTAAATATATTTTATTAGATGGCAGGGTCAACTTTCAGCATTGTTTAGTATACACAGTTACATCAGTAGGTTAAATTCATAGAGAGTTCTCAAAGCCAAACCAGATACACAAAAATAAGTGATAGAGCTGGAAATGATAGCTCGGCTACTTCATAGAAGAAACAGAGGAACTAATTGAAATTGACATAGAATTTTTTAAGAAAAAGATTCTGTAACCGAAATATTCAGTGTTAAAAAGGTAATTATTTTAGGGATTAGGGAGATAGCTCACCAGTCTGAGTGCCTGCCTGGCAAGCACAAAGTCCCAAGTTTGATCCCTGGTACCACATGCCGTGCTGGCCCTGGAACCCTGGGTGCGCCTTGTTAGCCCCTGGAATTGGGCCTGGTGGCACATGCGGGCAATCCCAGCACTGGGGAGGCTGACACAGGAGGATCACTACAAGTCACTGTACCAAATCAATAAATAAAGATTAACAAAAGGAAGATACTTATTTACCTGTTATAAGCTAATGAATTTGACACATAGAAAAAGTGTCATTTAATTTTAGGCAAGAAACAGGCTTTGTTTCTTTATTTTTTTAAATTTATTTTTATGTATTTAGTACAGAATCTCACTATGTAGATTAGACTTATAGTGATCCTCCTGCTTTCAGCCTCCCAAGTACTGGGATTACAGGCGTGCACCACGAATCACTGTCTCAGTGTGCCCCGGTGGCAGGCCCGGGGATCAAACCCCAGGCCCCTGAGTCTGCCGAAGTAGGTGCTTTAATCAGCTAAACTATTTGGCCCTCGAAACAGGCTTTCTTAATTAAACTTGTAGCTTCCACATCTTTCAGCCTGCAGGTTAAAAAGAAATGAGCCCTTATAGAGCTTCTGGTCCCCTCAGAAGTGCTCACAACACAAACAAAAACCATTTATATTGTTTAAGAAAAGGTCCTTTTGTTTTTCGTTGTGTAGCATCTTAAAATGAGCCTCTCTGTCTTCCGTAAGAAGATGGCTCCAGGACCATGCACTTGGCAGTGGTGGAGCATTTTCCCCAGAGAGGCCCCCTCTAGAACAGCACTGCTGCTGCCCATTGGGGTCCCGGCCCCCAGCCTGCTTGCCGGCTTCCGGGCTGCTTCTCGCATCCTGAACAGGAGACAGCGCAAGGCCGCCTCCCTTATGTTACATGCAGAGTGTCTGCTTCAGGTGGGGTGTGGTACTCACACCCATAAGCCCAGCATTGGATCATGCGTTAAGCACCAACTCTCAAAGTCCTCCTCGCGAGTGCATGAGGCTCTGGGGAGACACCCATACACAAACCATAACATTCTGCACCTGGACCCCCCAAAAGACTTGTGCACATCCCTTTATGCAAAAGGCATTTTAGTCCATCTCTCAGAGTTGCCAAGGCCCTAATAGTTTCAGCACTGCTAAAAAATCCAAGTCCCAAGCCTCCTCCAAGATCGAAAGCATCCTCTTAGCTGTGAACTCCTATACAAATGAAAAGTTAAACATTTCCAGCATTCAATGGCACAAGATAAATATTACCATTCTAAAAGGGACACAGTTTTTAAGCTCTTGCAGGATGTAAAAGTTCTGAGGTGAGGAAGGCTTCCACTCTGATTTCCGAGGCCTGGGAGCCCAGGCATTGTGCCCCTGCCTGGGAGGGCCGTGTGTGAAGCAGCAAGTGAGAAGCTTAACATGCAGTGGAAACCCCAGAAGTTTGGAAAAGCCGGGAACATGGATCATCTAAGGGAAACTGCAGGGAGGGGGCAAAGCTGGCCTAGGAAAGAAGCCCTGGGAGCTACCACTGGGAGTGCCAGAGGGGCGGAGCCATGTAAGGCCTCGGCGCTCACAACTCATCACAGACTGCTTCGGATGTCCCACATGGAATCACAGGATTTGTTTGCCCTGCTGGATTTCGGACTTGCCTTGGTCCCAATAGTTAGTATCCTGTTCGGTGTACCTTTTGGAATGGTAATGTTTATCTTGTGCCATTGAATGTTGAACGTGTTTAGCTTTTCGTTTGTACAGGGGCTCATAGCTAAGAGTCTGCCTTAGGTCTTGGAGGAGACTTAGGACTTGGACTTTTCAGCAATGCTGAAATTGTTAGGACTTTGGCTACTCTGAGAGATGGACTAAAATTCCTTTTGTATAAAGGGATGTGCATGAGTCTTTGGGGGCCCAGGGGTGGAATATTACGGCTTGTGTGTACGTGTCCCCACAAAGCCTCAGCAGTCGTGGGGCAGACTCCTAGACTTTGTGGTCAGTTAATGGTCCAGTGCTGGCATTACAGATGTGAGTGCTGTCCCCAGCCTGGGGTGCGTAGACTGAAGGCGACATAGGGAAGACACACGTGCTGTCTGTCACTGTTGCTGCTGCTACTCCTCTGTTTTCCTGTTGCTGTTTTGTGCTACCGTGAAGCTGCCCTCTGCCATGTGCCACTCTGCTTTGGAGCCAGCTGATTATGGACTGAAACCTCAACAAACTCTGAGCTAGTTAAACCTTTCCTTCCTTAATTTCAGGTGTCAGTTATTTTGTCCCAAGAACTAGAGAAAAGTAACTACAACAGTAACCAAATCAGGGTGCAGAGTCTGATCTGTACTGGACAGGGCAGTGCCGGAGTGACACTGGCCTCCATGTGGTGGCCATCACCTGCTGCACATGGGTGTCAAGGGGAGTTTAAGAAAAAGTCTTCATACCAGTCACAGTGTGCTAGATTGGATTTTAGCCATCAGGTACCTTTAACTCCCTATAGTATTTTTTAGGGTTTTCATTTATTTTTGGTACTGGGAATCAAACTCATGACCTCACACTTGCCAGGAAGGTACTGTGCCACTAAGCTGTATCCCCGGCTTCCCCATGGTGTTTTTAAATATAAGTCCAGACTAAAAATCCCTGCATTAATGATTTTTAACAGTAGCATTAAGAGAGATGCTGTGGATGGTAGAGTTCAGTGGCAACAAAAAGCAAGGTTTAAAACTTCTGAACCGGGCTGGAGAGATGGCTCAGTGGTCTAAAGCACCTACTTGAAACAAGCTTGGCAAAGCACAAGGACCACGGTTCAATCCTCCAGCACCACATGCCAGCCAGCCCCGCCCCCTGGTGAGCTGAGCTGGCCACACACACACACACACACACACACACACACACAATAAATGTAATAAATAAAAATAAATAAATATAACAAAAAATAAAACTTCTGAACCGTGTATAGTACATGTGGATAATAATATGTTTTAGGTAGTTTCCCCTTCTTGCAGACTAAAAAGGGCACAAGATTTTGAAACTGCAAGTCCTGTATGAAGATTTTACTCGGATTAACTCTGCTTTTACTCAGAGTATACCTATTTTACAAAATATTTAGCACTAGATATCTTTTGATTCTGCTTTGAAAGCATTACTTAAGAGATTTAGGCATCAGCTGTCTCCTTCCAGTGGCTTTTTCAAAAACTGGCCTCACAGATTTAATAGATGTGTTTAAAGGAAGCACCATGTAGAATGGCTTGTCACCTGGAGAAAGGAGCTTGTCCCAGCATTATCTCCTAAGTACTCCCACTCCCTGGGCTCCCTGGCTCACCTCACTTCCTCCATCTCTGTTGTGTGCTTTGGTCACCTACTGTGTATGTACAGCGGTGGTGTTGTGTCCCTTCCCTGATACTGGCTATGTGGCGACTGGTGACTCACAGGGTTAATGCCTTGTGGGGCACCCTGTTTGTATGGAGGGTGGGAATAAGGCCCAGGGCCCCTCTTTCAGGATGTCACATTCCTAGCACGCACGGTGGTCATTTGTGAGAAAGCGGGCAGACTTGGGGGTGTCCAAGGCCACGCAGAGCTGCACCGTGGCTACCCAAGGACCGGCCCCGGTGTTGTCTCCGTGGCGTTAAACCATGTGGGCTCAGACTTGGGGCCATGATGTTCCATTTTATTATCAACTGCTCTTCAGACAAAAACATTTGTGGTTTTAGGTCCCATATTATTCTGTGGACCTGTTTGAGCACTGGCGTGTTATTCTATAACTTCACACACAATTGACTTTTCTCTCTTTCCATCTTTTCCAGTGGACAGTTTCGTAAAGGGTAGCGTGAACGGAAGAGCCTACTGCAGCAACTGTCTGGCAGCTGCAATCAAGGGGACTTGTTGCATTTCACTTCTTCTTCTTGGGTACAACAGTCAGCGTTTGTAATATTAGTGCCCTTTATAGCAGTACTGAATTTATGGCAGTATTGGAAAAGAATTTGATTTTCACATTTAGAAAATGGCCAAATAATTCATTAAATTCTCATGTTCCTGAACATTTCTGCAGGAAGTAAGTGATTTAACATTTTTCATAGTTAAAATATGGAACTAAACAGCGTACATAAATAGCATGTAAAAATCCTGCTTACATTTCTAATACGAAAATTGCAATTATGCTTTTCCTCCTTTAACTTATATTAGCTGCTTATAGTTGTGCTAAGTAGCCTTGTTTGGCTTTTGCTCACTAATTATGAAGACTTTTGCTTAAACTGAAAGACTTAGTGCCTTCGAACTAATCATCAGGGAAAATTTAAAAATTTATTTGAAGGGCTTATCTGAAGGAACACTAACCTTTTGTAACTTACTAGGTAATATTTATAGGCCAATGCTGAATTGCTCCTAATTTTTGTGCATTTTTATACCTTATAAAATTAATATATTTTACAATATAGTGAAGTTTTTCTTTGTTACATTGAAAATTCCACACGAGTGGGTACCAGTGGAGGGCAGTAATGTGCTCTTGAATAGTAACACATTCAGCTTTACAAAGGTCTGTGTGATAATTAAGTTAAACCAAGACTTTGGGTGGGTTACAGTGACTGACTGGTAATATATTTGTCTAAATTTCCTAAGCATTTTTCTTGTTTTATATTTATGAAAGAATAGTTACTGGATTGGTAGAGATGTGAAATTGCCAAAACATAAAAAAGAGAAAGATGTAGGTACTATGTTTTAGACATAATAATATTAGATAATTCTAATGGATGCATAGAGATTTTTATCACAAGGTACATGCATTTCATGTAACATCTGTGCTTTTGGTTTTTCCTTTTACTATATCATATGTTAAAATAGCATTATTACCTGCCAGAGCTAATTCTGTGAATGGCAAGGCCATGTACCTGAGCCCTGATTAAAACTATAGGTGCCGATGCCAGCAGGAACTGCAAGCTAAAAGGACTAGCTCACTTAATTTACTAAGGAAAAGTGAGCCGCTAGTCTCGCCCAGCAGTCTCACAAAGACTGTGGTCTATTGCGGTGCGTTGCACATGTTTATCTTAAGGGGGTTAAACCCTAAGAGAGGTCTGTTGAGTCCATGTGTATAAATTCCCTTTTCTACTGTGGTATGAAGTACTCTATGCTATGAATAAGCAAAATACAGTTACAGTGAGTTTTCTTTATTTTTTAGAGGATTGGTGATATTTTTCATAAAAGATTGTAAAATCATTGAACTGCACTTTAGAAATAAAATTTTTGACTTTATTATGACAATTAAATTTCTTAATTTAAGAGAAGGAGCAGGGAGAATTAATAGCTCTGTGGACCTGGAGCCAGACTGTACCGTCCTCTGGTGCCCTCTGGTGGTGCTGTAGCAAGAACCATTTTCTCTTCCCTACACCTTTACAGAGTTAGAACGGGGTTGTGCACACGGGTTTCTTCCCACGGGCTAATCGGGACGATGTCTCTTTCTGACCATAGCTTACCTCCCGGTGACTTACTGCTCCACCGTGAATGATTAGCACACACACCGCTTTCTGGGCAAAATGGGCTGGCCTGCTTCCACTGATCACGGCTGCTTCTGTGCGTCTGATCAGCTTCCTGCCAAGCCACCTGCATTGCAGGCTGAAATCACTTGGTGACACTCGAGTCTCAGTAGCATTGTTAGGAAGGACAAGGGTGAGGAGAAAGCTGGGTGCTTGGCAAGGAAGCGCTAAATGATCACTAAAATGTGAACACATCCAAGTATTCTCCTCATAAGGTTATGGATTGGTGTGAAGCCTCAAATGTCAGCAAATTTCCTCCAATTAATACTTTAAAGAAGAGAAGACCATGAGATTTAATACCTCACCCAAGCCCTGTGCAGATTACTGAGACACCTAACGCAGTCAGATGTGCATATGTTAACTACGTTAAAATATCAGTGTTTTAATCACATGTTAATTGTAATTGTTCAGCTATTACTGCGGCTGCTAATACAAAACTATTGTGACACATTGCACTTTTTAAAATGTCATTCTGTTGATTGATCGATTATATTCAGAATGTGATTGATAAATGTCCCACATATGATTTTGTTATAAATTACTTATTGTATTTTGGGGACATAGTTATATGTTTTCCTTTATAAAAATTGTCTTTGCTTATGTTTAACAAAGTTTCATCTCTTCCATCTTAATTAGAACTAGGATTGATAGTTTATCTTTTGGAGATTAAGAACAGCAAAAGAGCGAATGCCTATTTATTGTGTTCATAGTCTGGAGTTATAAGTGGATGTGTTTCTTTTCTTATACTCTAAAGAAGTGATGATATTAGTCCCCTGACTTTTTTTTAAAGAGAAATAATAAAATAATAAAGTTTCTGTATATCATCCTTAATACCCCAGGAATATTGTCATAAGCTTTGAGTTTTCCTTCTATTCAAAAGTTTCGCTAATAATCATGTTCATTTTCACTTATAATCATACTTTTCCCTTATAAGATAGAAATAAATCAGTCAGTTTTGAATAACCACTTCTGTATCAGTAGGTCATCAAGATGTACACACATATGCATGCCAATCTATGTTGAGATTTAGAACACATTTCTTTAACATTTCTGGGCAAGCAGTAATGTTCCATTGAATACTGGCCATGCTTTAAACTGATTCAAGTATGGTAATAAGGCCCTTTTCTTTATTTTGTAAGAAGCCAGGGACACAGGTCATTTGCATATGTCACGCGTTTCAACATTTTATTTGATGCAGAAGTTTGGGTCCAACAAGTCAAAACAGCCTAATCCCCCAACTGCTTACTGTGCTGTTCTCCCTCTTCTAAGCTTGCTTCCTTTTGTAACTGTTTTCTAAAAATATGCCCACCCTGGGTTATGATCTGAATGTGGGACTGGGGACACAGCTCCGAAGTATAGTGGCTGCCTGACACACATAAGGTCCTGGGTGCGATTCCCTGTACACAAAAAGATCAATGTGCATGAATTCCGTGATCCAGAAGTGGTACTTTTGTTTTATCCTCTTTTACATTGGCTATTTTTATAGCACTATATTTAGGTTATGCTGAGTTTTGAGTTAAAGTCCTGTAGCTATAGCAATTTTAAGGGAAAAGACATTAGAATTGTCTTTTCACTGACAAAATATCCAGTATTTATGAGGGGGAGCATTGCACCTTGTATAATTTTTGTTACAAAAGTATTCTTTCCTTTGAGTTACTTGGATGTTCAGGGGTTTCTACTTATTAACCCTACATCTACTTGATTTGTTGTTGTTGTTTTTTATTATAGAACAATCTCTAAACAAGACAGCTAAGAGCTCCTACAAATAAATTCTTAGCATCTTAAATTGCATCACTCCCAGAGCGGTGAAGTGAGGAAGTCACGCCTTAGGGGCCTGTGATGCTGATGCATGGTGTCCCGTAGGGGCTCCTAGGGTCCCACCCAGCCACACGAGAAGAGCCAAGTGGATACAATCATGGTGGGCCTCTCCGAAACCTCAGGACAAGGGTGTCCTGCCCAGTGTGTTGAGAGCTTTCCTGATTGTCTCTCCCCATTGTTCATTGGCTTGGACTTGTGTGATCAGTTGCATCCTTTGTGCTGTCCTCAGGTCAGTTTCTGGACTGAGATTCCTGTAATCCTTTATTCACTTGCATTGAATTATCATTGCGTTATCCTCCCATGGACTTCATATGTACCGAAGAGCACAGTACGAGGTGCCTACTGGAGGCCTGGCCCGTCTTCACAGCCAAGTCCAGCAGCACTTTTTCATTTCCTTCTGGACAGTGCTTCGCTTTCCTGCAGCCTTGTTCAGTGATCAGTTGGTGGCCGGGCTCCAGGTCAGCTGTGACCAAACTCTCAGCAGTACTTACACAGAGCAGCCACGACAGAAATAAAGAGCGAAGTAGATAGATACTAGGAAATGGGGAGATAGATCTTTGGCAGAAGAAAAGGAGACCAAGAGATCAAGGGAGAGAAGAAGGAAGAAGCAGGAGGGGGCTGAAAAATATAATTTAAGATATGCTATAGACATGCAGCAGCTTTCCATGAGGAATGCAGTTGTTATGAACTGCCCGTATACTAAGACAAAATAAAAGGCGGAATAGAAAAAGGAGCATTGCAGAAGTGATACAGGCCTACTAATCCTCTTCCCCTAAAGATGTTCATGCTCCATTGCTGGAACTCTGTGCTACGTTATTCTATACAGCAAAGGCAACTTTGTAAATGTGATCAAGTTAAGGGGATCACTCAAGTGAGCCCAATCTAAAAAAATCACAGCTCTTTAAAAGTTGAGGACTTTTCCAACCAATGGCCAAAGAGGGGTGAAGAAAGAAGGTCGAGAGAGATGCTGTGTTGCTGGTGTTGCATACAGAGAGGAGGCCGTGAATGAGAGGTGAAATCTCCTCTGGGGGGGGGAGACGACTAGGACATGGGTTCCTCCAGCGTTCAGAAAATAAATCACTCAGTAAAAGAGATCAGGAGCCAGCCAAATAGCTCAGTGGATTAAAGAGCCTGCAAGCAGGTGCAGGCGCTGGGGCCGGGGTTTGATCCCCAGGCCTACCATGCTGGCCCCGCCTCCAGGGCGTGCTGAGACAGCTATGGAGACTGGGCATGGTGACATGCACCTGTAATCCCAGCTCTTGCGAGGCTGTAAACAGGCAGCTCACTATGAGTCCAATCTAGTAGTGAGACCCTGAACACCCTGTAGACCCTTCCCTAAGAATACAAATAGATGAATGAATAAATAAAAGAGATCAGTATTGTTTTGTTGAGATACACATGCTTTTGAACACAATTATTGTAAAAAATCTTTTTAATTTAATAATTATTATATTAATTATTGTAATCATTAATGTTAATTATTATAATTCGTTAATAATTATTAATTATTAATAATTTAATAATTATTGAAAATATTTCAATATTAAAAGAGTATGTATATGGGAAAAATTTCATCATGAGAGCTTTGATGGAAAAACTGTCAGTGGCTATATAGAAAATAGTGTTGATATTAGTTTGATAATACAATGACTAACTCAATTTCATATTTCAGAATATTCTAGGGTTAATGACTGGGTCAAAAATGTATTTATCTCCAGCAAAACTGGTAGGTTTTATTGTTTTCTCTGCATTGCATTTGGCATTTGTTTTCAAGAGTGATTATGGCCCCTTCCAAATTATACCGTGCTCTTACTTCAAAGTTTCTGGTCATAAGACAGATTCTTCCCAGAGTTTTTGGAGGGAAAAGAGTGATTTTTTTTTCTTTTAGAAAACAAATGACAAAATAAGCTAATTCAACCTGTATTTCTGATATTCAGAGAAGCACTTATGACCTACTACCCATGATAGATTCTAAGAAAATAATATATATTCACAACCACACTCATCCTCACAATAGGAAGAGGTTCTAGGTAGCCATAATTTAGTATTCCTTATAACTCCCAAGGAAATGGCGACTTGAAAATTTGCTTTATTTCAAGTTGAAGAATTGATATAGAGACAGATAACATTTTTTAAATTTATCTTTTTAATTCTTGGATCACTGAGGACACTATTTTGCTGTTTGCCCGTCCCAGGTATACAAGGGTATACACAAGCCTGTAACATCATTAGCTACAGCAAATTTACTAGACAGCATAGCAAAGTATAGGATTAACTGAAGATATATTTTAATACGAAAATGCTTTAAAATAACATAAGGTCAGTGACCATTTGACTGTACAATTCACTCATCAAAATATAAATGTCAGCTCATGTGTGGGAATTACACCAAGTCTTTCGAAACCCAGCCCAATGCTTAGGAATGTGTAGACTTCATCAGCGCTTCAAGGGGGTGTACCTAAAGCTTCCAAAAGGACCCCAGATATTTGGTCAGAGATAAACGTAAGGCATTCTTCCAAATGGATGTAAACTTTTCTGAAGTGGCCTTTCCAGGAAAGTGTTACAGCTGTGACGAGCCTGTGCTTAACTGGTGGTGCTGTTGCCTATTTTTAGTAACCCATTGTCATACTAATCATTTTGTAAAAAGTAGCCTAAAAATCCTCCAATTATAAAAATGTCTGGGGTGCTTTTACTCAAAGACATGCAGCAGGCACTTTCTGTTGACTTTTCCGCAAATCCTAAGTGTTTTCTGCTACTAATAGTCTTGTCTTTAGCATCCGTGACTAGAATTGTGTTACTAATACTGTGTGTGCTCTAAATACTAGGCTCATATATTGAGAAATAATAATTTGCCTACCATTTGACTAGTGTAAAATTGAATTTAGGGTATTTTAACAATGTCTTTTCCTACAGAAGCATTCAAAATAAATAGTGCTACTACATTTCAGTACCATGACGTTTTGCTGTCTGTTACACCTTTCCCAAAGTGGTTTTCTGAGCATGTGGACTAACCTGACTACGCTGGAGATGTGGGTTTAGGGCCCCTATCAAAGTCCCCTGTTGCAACCAGTTAGTTTCATTTAATCTCCTTCTTAGCCTTATAATTGGCAGAGACCACCAAGTAATTATCTGGATTCATGTCCTTAAGGGTTGGAGATTTGCTCTGGATGGGGGATGTTTTGCCATCCACACGGGAGATCTGCAGCATTCGGCAAGGGTCATGTTTCAACAAATACCCAGCAAAAGTTTCCCATCCGCCTCCCACACGCACCATGACATGTTTGTTGTGCAGCATCTGAAATGAAAGAAGAGGAAGAACATTACATTCTGAGAGGCTGGCGGCGTCTGGAACCACCCCCAGTTCTAGTGAAATCAGTGCTGATTGTCTCACATCTCCACCCCACTGTTTTCATGATTTATTGGAGGCATTCAGCATGTAGTTTATGAGAGCAGCCTTGCCCTGGCCATCAGTGAGTGTGGCGTGAACAGCCCTAGCCTCGTGTGATGTGCGTCAGTGGCTCTGGAGGCTTCTCTGACATTTTCATTACAGCTCTCATCACTGCCTCCGGGTCCTGCCTGTTTCCTCCAATTAGTGCTTCACTCTTCCCACCAGGTTATTTCCTTCTCAACCAGGGCTTGGAAGACCATGAGGGTTATGATGTCAACAGTCACGCCAACCTGTGACACAGGCAGGTTGAAGATGCGCTCAGCCAGACTGAAATCTTCCCCAGGCTTTTCCTGAGCCCTTCAGGACAGGATGCTTTTGGATAACTAAGCATTTATGTTTTCCCTAGTGTTATGCTTCCTAATTGCTTTAGAATACATTTCAAACCAAACCAAATAAACCAAACAAAGAAAACAACTTACCTTTAGACCCAGGAGCCCACTAGAGCTCCAGTGTAACAAAATAGTACATTTAAAAAGTGAACAATACCTGGCTCTTTTTATCTTGTCAAAACATACTAGAGTTGTGGAGATATGGCATGGAAAGCCAAAGGATTTGAACTTGGCTTCTTCAAATAACAGAAAATTGAAGGAAGACTATGTCATAGTCCCAAAAGATCCTGCTGATCTGCCCTCCTACCTATAATTTTATGGTTGTAGAGTGGTGCTGTAATCTAGGAAAGGGGTGAATTGCAAGTGGGCTTAGGGAAGCCATCTTAACTGGAGAGTCTGTAAAATTCCATTGGTTTTCTCTTTCTTTTATGGTATCAGGAACTGAACTCAGAACCTTGCGCTTGCCAGGCAGGCGCTGTGCCTCTGAGCTGCATGGCTCAGGCTCATGCCACCTTCATTTAATCTTTGAGAGTTGGAGCAAATGTGGGGCCTTCTCTCCCTGTGCCTGCAGCCACAAAACCTTGCATATGTGTTTCAGGTTTTCACAGAATTTAGTATTTCTATCTACAGAATCAGGCTAAATGCCTTGCCTCATGGTTGACGTGAAGCAGTTTTTAAAATCAAAAATCCTATGTAACCTGTGAAAACACAACAGTGACTAAAACTACTTGACTCAAGATATACCTCCTGGCCATTCTTACAGTTTCTAGGATTTTAGAATAGAGGGAAACTTAGGAAATATCTTTTAGCTGTAGTCCTTTATTTTAGCCTTGTAAGTTGCCCATGGAATACAATCCACTGAAATAGGAAGCGCAGTGGAGGAGCTGGGTTTTGCTTGCAACCCCTCTGCCCCTCCTGCTCTGGCCGGGTGCCAGGTTCCTGTGCAGATGAGGCCTCTGAAGACCAGATGCTCATGTGAGCTGCTTAGGCTCAGAGTTCCTGACTCCAACAGAATGCTTTTCTCATGCGAGTTCCTGCTCAATCAGCACCTCCCTCTAAGGCTTTTATCATGTGGTCCGTGTGTCTTTATTTCAAGTGTATATTCCTCTACCACAAATACAGAGGCCCTGCAACAGAAATAACAAAGGCAAGTGGCGTGTGGCCTTCCTTCGTGCTGCCCCAGAGGTGGCCTGGCTCATCACTGAAACGCAAGCTCCCAGGCCTGCTAGCCATGTGTAAGTGTTCCAAGCACCTCAGCAGATAGCATGCACCAGGACCAAGCTATTCCAGTAGGAGAGAACCACCAAGAAGAACAATTTTGAAGTGATTAGTTCTGGGAGACCATATCAGAAACAGAAATACCTTCCAACCTGGAGTATACTGATCATTTAGGAACAATCTATCTGTAGACTTTTTTGTTTTTTACTTTAAATATTCTTTTAATTTTAAATAAATTTTATTATGGCCAGCCAGATACCTCAGTGGATTAAAGCACCTGCTTAGGCGGGCCCAGGGACCCGGGTTCAATCCCCCCATGTGCCATGCCAGCCACGCTTCCAGGGCCCACTGAGACTGCGACTGAGTCTAGGTGTGCTGGAACATGCCTGTAATCCCAGCTGTTGTCCTGAAAACAGGACAGTCACTACAAGTCCGATCTATATAGTGAGATCCTGTAGGCCCTGTACTAAATACATTTTAAAAAAACCAATAAATTTTATTTTTAGTTAAATATTTGTACTGTACATTGTATCTATAGTTCTTGCATTGAACTATATGTTACAGCCCTTTATATTTTTTATTTTTCATCTTAATCTTTTTTTATCTTTCTTGTTTTTTTGAAAAAGGGTCTTGCTATGTCGTTCAGGCTGATCTTGAACTCACTGTCACCCCGGCTCCCTTAAACTCACCGGGATCCTCCTGCCCCAGCATCCCACGTGCTGGGATTAGGGCACTACCTGTTTGTTTTGCTTTTTATTATTTTACTATGACAGCACCTTGTGAATTTGCTAAACTGCTAAGTTTGAGCTTGAATTTGTGGTCCTCCTGCCTCAGCCTCCCAGAGAGCTGGAATTACAGGTTTGCACCACAATGTTGGGTTTATTTGCAGATTTTTAATGAATATGCTGGACTGTGAAGTGGAGTCAACATAAAACAGAGGCGTTACTGAAAGCGAATAGAACAGGAGCTACACTTCTTCCCATCTGCTCCACATCCTTCCTAGGGAAGATACTTTAGTCAAATATTTTTTAAGCTTTTGTTAGCTGATGATTAGCAGGAAATACATTCATATAATATCTAAGTTCATTTTTCTCCACGCTAATTTGAGGCTACCGGACATAAGTTTATTTCTGTGAGTAGCTTCAGTCTTCTGAAAGATGGCTTTGTCCTCTGAAAGTGCCTTTATTGCGAACAGCTGAGCCGGCCTCCGCATCGCCAAAGCTCTGCTGACCGGATGCGTGCGCGTGACTGGGGGAGCGGGCGGGCGGGCGGGCGGGCAGGCGCGCCGAGTATCCACTTGCCATTTTCTTGTTTTGCAATCTGAAATGCGGCTTTCCGGTGATCATTTCATTCTTTGGGTCGCGCTCCGTAGGCAATCCCTGCAGAGCTGTTTTTCTCCAAAGACGTAGGCTGCATTCCTACCTCCCCACTCAGGTTTTTCAAGGAAGCAATGCACAAACAATGTAACCATCGTAAAACTAGGAAGGAGCTTTGTTTTTCCTTTTAGAGACAGGTGAAACTTCCTGTAAAACATGTTCATGTGGCCTGCTTGAGGCACAGTGTCACGGGAGACCGAAAGATCAGGACCTTGCTAGTGTAAAAGCAGGAGGCTTCCGTTCTCCTAAAGGGTCCTATGTCTCAGGCTTAATAGTGGGTTTTATCTTTCAAGTTTTTAAATATATTTCAAAGCTTTTTTCCCGATCTTTCTCCTGGACCCACACACAGCTCTGAAACATGGATCCACATAAATTTCTCAGAACTGTGAAGTGCTTCTCTCGTGGGTTGGCACCAGCTCAGGCTCGCATCCTTTTTTCGTCCTAAGCTGCATTATGAACAAAAATAAGTGCATGCATAAATGCATTCCCGCCTGTCACCAAGGGCTTTCTTGATGTAGCCTTTGCCAAGGGCCTAATCGTCTGTAATCCAGGCGCACATATACTTATCAGTAGTACTTACAAAATGGGACGCTGCCTCTTCAAGGGCGCACAGTAATTTCATACTGAAGAGGAGCAACTAGGAAGCCCATTTCCTTTGCGCTTGCTTCCGTTTGCTCACCTCTGAGGGCTGAGAGGTTTTTAGGTTGATGTCACTGGGCGACAGTTCCGGGTGGGATTAAGATCTTAAGGTCATAAAGACTGGTCATCCTTATTGGAGAGATTTAATTTCATGCCTTTATTTTTTTTTTAATTTTTACTTTGGGCTCAGTCTCAAAAACAAAAAAAGTTTAACCCCCACTCTGTCTCCATGAACAAACCCTCTACTGTTTAACCTAAAAGCTAATTAACATCCTGTGGACCAAGTAAGTCCCTCCTACTTCCCCCTCCTTTGTGACACTTGCAGAGGGCCACAGCTGACTTGGAAGGCAGATTTACGCTTGGTCTAAGCATTCAACCCTTGTACAGACTTAAGAGATTTGTGACATTAGAACCATTGCCACCACCTAATCCTCTTGGTTTATTTTTCTTTGGGTCACTGCATGTGTTCTTCTCCCTATGCTCAAATACACTGCTTCTCTGCACTCTAGTTCATCTGCTGATTGATCACTTTAGCTTTGTCCAGGCTCCCTCCTCACTCTTGATACCTCTGCCAGGTAATTGACCCAAATGTGCATCAGTCATTTCCCTTTTTCCTCTCAAGAAGTTCAGTTTCTCCCAGCCCATCTTAACCCCCATTCCTTTTCATTCTTATGTACTTTCTTTGTGTATCTGACCTTAAGTGTACAGAGGTGTATGGCCTCCTATCTTCTCAGTTACTGTGCAGACCCACAAAGCACACAGCTTCTGTGCTCTACCTCCTAACTGACCCCACTGAGAAAAGGAAACAGGGCTTTTTGATGCCCCAAATGCAACATATGGCTTCTACTCCTTGTCTGTGTGCAGGATTTCAGATAATATTTGACTGCTTCCTCCTTGTGCATACTCCTTGTCTACTTATGACGAGACTCTTCTTTCTGGATGGCATGCAGCCTCATTCATTGCTCTTCCCCTGCTTCTTCTTTTTTTTTTTTT